GTGTTCTATTCCTTTGTTTAGTAGTTTGAATGAGTTTAGTTTAGATTATTTTATCGTTTTTCAAAACTGTTCGACTTCACAAGATTTTTTTCTATTTACTTTTATTTATGAAAACGAAGGTTCGATTTCATACGAAGTTACCGGTTCAAGGCTTATGGTTTGGGAGAAGGGAACTCGAAGTTTGGGTTTCTGAGAACAAGTCATGAGTCGTAAGAGACCGAGTTTATAGATCAAGTATGTTGTTTGCCATTTTTTGCGAGTTGGACGCGAGTTTGTGGCTCCATGTTGGCCGAGGAAAGAGAATTGAATTCGAAATCCCGAGTGTAAAAATGAAAACTTTCGAAAACAATATTAAATTCTTGCTAACTAACTAAATTGGTTGAAACCATGACTTTTAACTCGGAAATCAAAAATACAATATTACTTGCTGTTTATGAGAGTAACTCAAATGAAACGAGTTCATTCTCACATAAAGTCCTGAGCCACTGAAACAATGTTAAGTGATCCTCACGGAATTCATTCTTTACTAAAAACAAAGGCGCCGCCTACCGCCACAAAACAAAAGCAAAAGGAACTGGTCTATTTTGGTCAATTGCAAAAGGCCAAGATTCTAAGGATTGGGAGTACTATAAAGTCAAAAAATAATGGAGTATGATTTCCTTTCTTTCTATTCCCATCCCTTTCTCTCTTCTTCTCTTACAGATTTTTTTGTCTTCTTCTTACTATTAAAAAAATATCACAAAACATTGATATGATTTAACTGAAACCGTTCAAATATAAAAGTTGAAAAGAAGAGAGAGGTTAGAAGGGAAACGAAACCTATTCTGAAAAAAAATTGCATTGGCTGAATGCCATGATGCGACCACGAGAGAAAAGGATTGGATCGAGTTTTCAATCCACGTGATGGATGACAACATGATTATGTGTCTATCACCTAGGTTCTTATTTTAATACATAGTTATGGACTATTCAGTACTAAAACATGATTTTCTTTATGTGTAATTAAAGGTTTTAAGTTTAAATATTGCGAATGAGGAATTTGATCGATACTAATTTAGAGTTCGTTTAGATATATTTTTGAAATAACTGAAAATACTTTTGCTGAAAAATATTTTTTGAACCAATTCTTAGTAAAAAATACAAGTAAATTCTGAATAAAATATTCCAAAAGAAATGATTAAAATTAAGATAGTGGTACAAAATGTTTGAGAGGCTTCACGAAGGAACCTATGTTATGCCTTACCCATATGGGACCCTAATTGTTTGAATTAGCATTAGATTATTGTTCGGTGATAATGAGATTCCACTAGGTTTTGAAAAAGAATATTCTTGTCCGATTTATAAGTAGTCTTTGTCATATAATATGGTATTCATCTCCAAGACTCCAAGCACCTAGTATATTTTCGTCATCAAATACCTCACAAATCACAATCCCAAAGTAATAATAATAATAAAAAAAAAAAGATTGGCATAAATTTTGCAACGTACATGTTCTCTAGATGAAAACATCAAATTGACATCAACCGTATTCATGAGAATTCATACAATTTGTGAATTGCTTTTTTTTTTCTACAAATACAAGCGTCTTTCTATATTCTTTTCAAGTTATGTTTTTTTTTTGGATGTACTCTAAATTATAATTTTATGATAGCTGGTGGAAAAAAAAAATCTCAATTTAAGAGACTATTCAAATTTATGAAGAAAAAAAAATTAGTTTGAGTGAGATGTTCTCATCAATTAAAAAGAAGATAGCTACAATTCCTCTCATGGCCAACAGTTTTGGCTAGCTTTCTTTGGGAATATGCTTAATTTTTGGGTAATGCTAGGGAGACTAAATTTGTAGATAAATTTTTAAAAACTAAAGGAAATGGAAGTTGATGATTTATTTATTACTTAAATGTTGATAAACGTGCTCATTCCTATTGGTGACACATCATTTAGTTTGCAAATTTAGTTTTCCTAACATTACTCTTAATTATGGAAAGTAGTTAGTGACCTTATTAACTCATTCATAAATCTTGGGTCAAAAACTTGCACACACATATACGTTTTCTACTTTTACGCCATTTTCAAATTTTGTTTTTGTTTTAAACAAATTTGATAAAACACATTCTAATACGGGCCGATCGACCCGGTAACCTTTCACTGTCGAGTTTATTTACTCTTTATGGGTTAGGTCTTTTAGTTAAAATGATCTTTGATGTTAGCATAATTCTTTATTTTGGCTGATGACAATAAAAATAGATAGAAGTGGTCCCTAATTTTGTTTATTCCGTGAAAAATCTGTCAATATCCTTGTTAAGTGGAAGAGTTGGCTTGACAAAAATACCCTTAAAAAGGTGGTCACATGACAATTCAATGAGGATATTAACATATTTTTCACATAAAGACCAAAATGATTTAGAGTGGACAAACTTAATGAGCGCTTTTATAGATTTTCATTATCATGGGCAAAAGTGATGAGTTATGCCTATCTCAAAGAACAATTTTTTTTTTATATATATATAAAAAGCTTATGAATTATCGACAACAAATGACTATTTTAGTAGATAGTCGAACCGTTACACTTTGTATGTGGATCCTTTAATGGCGTTGACCTTACTTTAATCCATCATTTAGCTTCCTTAATAACCAATTGCTTAACTTGCTGAGTAATACCTTAAAGAGGAATACAATATTTCATTCATTAAAAAAAAGGCATTATAAATACATATTGTGAAGAACTCGGCCCCAAAGGGTCTTTGCAAAGTAGATCTACAAATATTACAATAGAGCGTCATTAATCGCAAAGTAATGAGTAGACTTCAAGCACTCGTCAGAGCTCATCGAGAACCACAAAATTACACATATCAATTAACTGTTAAACCTCATGATACATATAGATAATGTGAGAATAAAAATCTCAAATCATATATTGGGACAAGAGTACGATGCCCATGAGTCTAATCGCATCACCTAATCACCGCCACGATCCCAAAACACCAAGTGAAGTAGATCAAGCAAATCAAACAGCTCCACCCTACACACGTAGATCCAAAAGAGGTAGCACACCAAAACAAAAATTAAAATCAAGCAACCCTCCTAGAGACAACTAGCAAACTCTCTTAAAGAGAAATCAAAACTCAACTCCAAGACAATTCCTAAAAAATATTAAACAAAAACAAAATAAAAGGATAAAATCATGTTGCCACTCTACATGCTCAAGACATCAGAGAGCCATATTATTGCAATTGCTAAACCCATGGTGTCATACTGGCTAAACCTGGTCCCAATACAATCAGACATCTTTAATGGTTTTCAGTTTCAACCTTATATCGAATGTGATGATTGAATTCAAAACCTTGTGGTTGTTATGTGTGTGGGCCAAAAGATGATGACTACAACGTTTCACGACAACAATTTTACACCTAACAAAGTAAACGAAAAGGAAGAGACCAAGAATGAATTTCAGAAGAATGTCGCCAATCCTAAAACCAAAGGCAAGGATCGGCGACAGAAAATTTTTTTTCTTTGGTTTTTCCTTTAGACTGCTAGAGTTTTCAATAACTTGCGAAGTAGGCTTTTATTCTCTATTTTTTCCCTTGAATGGCATAAAGTAGTTATCAAATATTTGTGGGTATGTGTACATTTTGCAATTAAAGAGTGTTGATAAACGGCCCACTTACCGTCTTATCTCCCGAATCACTTTTTAATAAAAAATTTAACACCAAGATTTACCCTTTGAACTCGATGAGATCCTCATCTATCAAGCTCTTATTCCTCGATAAATCATCGTTGTCCGCCGCCTCCACATACCCTTCAAGCAAAACCTGCTTCTTCTCTTTCGAATTCATACAAGAAACCGACAAGATCTTTCTGTTCACCATCTCCCTACAACTATCTCAATTCCTTTAAATAAATATTTTCTTCATTTTTTAATCTTCTAGTTTAATTATATATAATAGTTGTTCATAATTCTTCTAATTTAATCATATATAATAGTAGTTCAAACATTTTACTAATGAGATAATTATTTAAACAATTGAAAAATGAAAAATAAAAAAATTTGTATATGTTTTAGAAGTTATTTAAAAATAATAGTAGATGAAGAAAATAACATTTCAATTCTTAAATTTTTGTAATGGGTGAAACAATAATGCTCAGGAAAATAGAACAATGAGGTGGGAGTACAAGTTGAGAATGCCGACTTGGCGAATTCAGGACAAACGGACCAAAATAAGGACTTGGTTCAGTTCTCTCCGAAACACTCCGGACTAAATAATCTCATATGTTCACGTAAAGGAAAGAGGATCGTCTTCGGATTCTCGAATCATATTCGTTCATCGTATATCATGCGATCAGTTTTTTTTAAGTATTGTTTATATTTAACCTTAAATAAAAAAAATTTGCAATAATTTCTGACCACACGATATACAATAAACGGATATGATTGAAGAATCTCTAGGATTCTTCAGAATCCTCATTCCACGTAAAATCGTGTGGCTCAAACATTTATTTATTTTTAATTGGCTCCAAACGAAACGACATCGTGTCTCTCAGCCACGGCGCGTGCTCTTCCACCCCTTCCGCTGTCCCTCGTCCCCAAAACTTTGTTTCGCACATTATTACTTGAACGGCTGTCAATGTATGGTATGCAAACGGGGCGGGAGGGAATGGAATAAAACTGGATGAAATGGGATAGGACGGGACGAAACAGAAAGGGAGTAAAAATGTCCTAGGATGGAAACAAGAAGGAAGAAGAATGAGATAGAGATGTTATAATTTTGTGTTCTACGAATGTGGAACGAGTCGTTCCAGAGGGTGACGCGGAACGAAAATTCACCCAAAATTCGTCATGTGAAACAGTGCGTTTCACCCGTTTTAGCAGCATCAAACGTAGAACGGAATGCCTTGTCCCACTCCGTTCCGTCACTATCCTCATACCAAACGGTACCTAAGAGTCCAGAGAGAACAAATCCGTAGAGGATCCGAACCACTTTGGGCCCTGCTACTATATAATTTCTCATCTAAATACACCTGCTTGCGCTGCCTTTTCATCAGCAGCAAACAGGAGCCAGTTTCTCTCTCCCTTGAATTTCTCTCTCTATCAGAGAGCCATCCTCAGAAGCTTCTTGCAGAATCCTAGATTTGAATTGCGACTGTATTGTCAGATTTCCAGGTAAATCCTCCAATGAATTTACTTTTGGATTAGTTTAACACTACCTGCAGTTGCCAAGTTTTGATCTTTGGAGCCTCAGGCTGAAGTTTGATTGTGTTAATTACGGTGGGAGGTTGCATCTTGCATGCACAGTTTCTGGGTTTCGATTGATTCGATTCAATTAACATTTCAAACGTTAAATGTTTAATTTTCAGTTTTGATATCATGTGATAATGCTGTTTGTGTTATTGATTTTATGGGTTTTTTTTTTTGTATATATTTGTTTTGTTGGGCCATTCAATTATACAGTTTTGCACCTTCTGTTATGCGTGGAGTGTAGTGGCTGTGGTTGAATATTCTAATTTGTTAGTGGGGGTTATAAAGTTTTGATTTTTTAAGGGAAAGAAGGAAACGCATACGTGGAAAGAGAATCGAAATTATTAATGACATCGGTTTTTGACGCTTAGTGTTACGTTTTGGTGTTATTCATCTTCACTAGAAAGTGGGAAGTTATAGGTTCGACTCTTGGGATGGTGAGTTCGACACCAAATTATTATGGCAGGCCTATGTGTGGTCTTCGCGTAAATATATTGTTTGTATTTTTCTAATAAACGACAATATCTACACTAGGGGGCAGGGGATTGGATTAAGCCTCACAATGGGCTAGCAATAACATGGTTCAAATTTACCTTTGGCGAGAATTGAACTTAAGACCTCTCACTTACAAGTGAAGAGGAATACCACGAGACTGTAGGACTAAGTGACATATATTGTTTGTATTAAAAATAAATAAAAATATCATTGGTTTTAAACTTTTAAGAAGGTTGACTGAGCTTTGACATAGAAATTCAATGCAAGAAGTATATCATTTAGATAGGCCTTTACTAGGAGAGGGCAACAGTAGGTCTCTGGGATGGCTAAATTTTATCTGATTCCCTTGAATTTGTAAAGTATAGTTGACTGAGAGGTTGTATACGATTTTCCAGGGGTGGCCATGGTACTCATTTCACAGACGGGTTCATCATACTGCATCCGTACTGAGCTATTTCGGTATAAATCTGGACAAAATGTGGTTTTCAGTAGGGCAAACAATATAGAGGCGTCCAAGTTGAAGGAAAATTCCATTGGCTTCTCTTCTGTATCATATTCTTCTTCTAGGAAGACACAGATTTTGCATATAGACAATGCACGAGTAGGACAGAAACGAGGGCATAGTGTGATAGTTGCTGCCAGTCCTCCAACAGAAGATGCAGTAATTGCTACTGAGCCACTAACGAAAGAGGATCTTGTAGCGTATCTTGCCTCTGGATGCAAGTCTAAGGAAAAATGGAGGTATTTATTGCCTTATTTACAGTAGTGGTTTTGTTATGCGATTTGTTGTTAATTCAATGTGGATTGAAAGTCAGTGAGGATTCAGAGTGTTATTTCTGTATATCTCCCTCCATATACCCAGTTTGTTGGATAACTAGTCATAAGTGAAAATTCACACTTGCTCAATCCTCAGAATTGGCACAGAGCACGAGAAATTTGGTTTTGAGCTAAAGACCTTACGCCCTATAAAATATGAACAAATAGCCGAGTTGCTTAATGTTATTTCTGAGAGATTTGATTGGGAAAAAGTTATGGAAGGCGACAAAATTATTGGACTCAAACAGGTATTCTTCTTCCACTCTTCAACTTTAGATGATGCTCATAAGTTGTTTTACTTCCCTTGATTATCTGTCATACAGATGTTAATATTTCGAAACCCTTTGTAACTCATGCATCCTCATATTTCCATTTGAAATTAATTATCATGAAACCCATGTCATTTATTGTTTGTCATTTGAAAAAAAATATGACATTATGGGACAGGGTAAGCAAAGCATATCACTGGAGCCTGGAGGTCAATTTGAACTTAGTGGTGCACCTCTTGCGACACTGCATCAAACTTGTGCTGAAGTCAATTCACACCTTTATCAGGTCAGGAAAAACAACAGTACTTTACAATGAAGTGCAAAGTATTGTCATATTTCATGCATAAATTGATTTAAAGTGAAATCTAGCTGACAAATGAAGTTTCTATTTGTTGTTTTGTATTTGGTGAGTAAATTTGTTCTCTATTAACTTTTATTAGGTCAAAGCAATTACAGAGGAAATGGGAATCGGATTTCTTGGAATCGGTTTTCAGCCCAAATGGGGACTTAAGGACATACCTATTATGCCCAAGGTATTTTTGAATCCTCTTCTCAACCATATGGCAATGCACGAACCCATCTTTTGTTTAGATTGGAAATTGAGATGCACAGCCGCACAGTTGCTGAAGCATTCCTCTTTATTCCACTTTACTGCTTATTGGAAGGCTATAGAAGGGTTGCAGCTTTATTTGATGGATAATTTTTAATCATTTTCTTGAAACAACCTCCTATTAGTTTTATAATGAGAAAAGGAACACCAAAGCACATCACTCTTCTAAAGTAACTCTTGTCATTAGATGCTAATATCAAATGCTGCTTTTGAAATTTCATACTGTATTTACTTGTTATCCCAATTTGGTCTAGTAACAGCTTTAATAATGTCACTTTTCCTTGCTTTTATATACTTTGGTTACATGCATGGTGATTGAGAATTTTGGTTCAGGGAAGATATGATATTATGAGAAATTACATGCCAACAGTTGGCACCCTTGGACTTGATATGATGTTCAGAACTTGCACTGTACAGGTAAGATCTTTGTTACTAATCTAATCAGGTACTTTTGACGAATACTTCTTACACATAATTTTGTTTCATAATCTGGTATTCCATTGGTTTTGGTGAGGAGTCAAATATTTGTAGCTCATGCAAATCCTTTTTTTCCCCCCAACTTTTTAGGTTAATCTGGACTTCAGTTCTGAAGCAGACATGATAAGGAAATTTCGTGCTGGTCTTGCCTTGCAGCCTGTGAGGAATTGTGGTATCTTGTTTTGATGTAAAATTGTTACTTATGTGGTATCTAACCTCTCAACAAATGAAACAGATAGCAACAGCTCTATTCGCAAATTCACCTTTCACTGAAGGAAAGCCAAATGGTTTTCTAAGCATGAGAAGGTTTCTATTGTTCTCATGTTCTTGTCATATATATGCTATTAAAATTTTCTGTGGTGTCCGTATTATTTTTGGTTGAGACTTGGCATCTCTATTGATTTTTCTACATGTTGTAATAGCCAAATTTGGACTGATATGGACAATAATCGCACTGGCATGCTTCCTTTTGTTTTTGATGACTCTTTTGGGTAAGGCTTTTACTTGTACTTTATGAATTAGTACTTGCTTTTTGTGGCTAGAATTTTGTACTTCAGAATCCAAATATTTGATGATAGATGACATCACTTAGCATAGAAAGTTCAGCGTCTGTTAAAGAAACAGGTCCTTGATCTCCCTGTTATGCCTTATCTGCTTTTTTGTTTGTTCATTAATGTGCTATTCTTAAAAATCTCAGCCAAACAAATCAAAACCTGATGTGAGAACATTCTCTGATGTTTGGTCTGCGTGCAATTTTGGTTTTTGGATATACAACTTTTGGCTGTTTACCAAAATGTAGTCTCGTTGGTCATACTTTCTATCACTGCTCTATTTGGATGCTAAAAACGGAGTTATGTCTGGTTTGTGTTTGATTAATGATGTTTTTTTTTATGAATGGTTTTGTATGGAGAATTGAAATATGGATTACATGAATGGTATAATGAATTTAGAATGGTTCTAGATATATATATATTCGCTTAACTTCTTTTGTCTATACTATTTAGCTCTGCACATAGTGTAATGCTTGAATTGATTTCCAGTTGTAACTTTAGTGGCCATTTTTGTGTGGTTATTGCTTGCTTATTGAAGGCTTATTCGCCGTTCGAAGTTGTACAATTATCTATTAATGATTCAATTATTTTTATATGTATTGTTTATTTTATTTTATTTGATATGCAGGTTTGAGCAGTATGTAGATTATGCTCTTGATGTTCCCATGTACTTTGTTTATCGGAACAAGAAGTATATCGATTGCACTGGAATGACCTTCCGGGTTTCCATCTTTCCTTTACGGTCTTGTAATTTGAGGCTTTCTTCTGTAGTTATCTTTGTTTGAAGCTACTAATATTTTGAAGACATTGGTATTGTTATCTCCATACAGGACTTTTTGGTAGGGAAGCTTCCTTGCATTCCGGGTGAATTGCCAACCCTGAACGATTGGGAGAATCATTTGACAACTATATTCCCTGAGGTTGATGCTAGCATCAAATAATCAAATTACCACCTCATGTTTTCGAATGCTGTTCCCGAATTATACGATATTTATTTTTTCGTTCAGGTCAGGCTAAAAAGATACTTGGAGATGAGGGGTGCTGATGGAGGGCCTTGGAGGAGATTATGTGCTTTGCCCGCATTTTGGGTAAGTGACACTATACATAACCAGTTAATCTGAACTTATATGCAAGTCACAAGCGTACATTTTAAATATTTCACTTTTTATTAACATTATCTTCTCTTAATTACGTACAGATAGAACAAATATTTATCATCTTATATCTACCGGTGTTTCTTTTTTATCCTCTGTGTCTCATGTGTTGTCTGTGAAATGCTAAAACATCTCTGAATGACAGCTATCTAGCTTCTGCAGGTTACGCTATTAACTACTAATAGCCAGCAACATAAGCTGATAGTGATTTGTCTCAAACTTCAGGTAGGTATTTTGTACGACGAGGTTTCCTTACAAAACGTGTTAGACCTTACAGCTGATTGGACCCCTGAAGAAAGACAGATGCTGAGAAATAAGGTGATCCTATACAACAAAGCCCATTTGTTTGTAAAAGAAAGTATAAAACTCTTTTCATTTATCTTTGCCTGCATGAATTCAAACTTGTGTCATCTGAGCTCTATTCTAGACATTATGTGCGTTTGAAAAAGTTTGAGAAAAAATCACCCTGGGGAGTGGTTGACACTTGCACATACGGCGTATGCTGTCAGGTTGCAAGTTTTTTGCACTTGTTTTATGCCACTTTTGGAGCCTAGGAAGAGACATTTGGTGCTGGAATGGAATCAGGGAAATTAGAAGGCCTAGCCATTGTGGTCAAAGTCCAGCTATAGGGATCAAGTGATATGTTTTACTAATTTCTTTGCTAATCTTCTGAACCTGTGACCAACCTTCTGTCTTTCTGTTTTCTCCTAATAAAATCAATAGCGAAATTGCATGGCTTTGGAATTTGCTTGTTTAGCTTTCCTTCAAATCTATATTTATTTATGCAGTTTGAAGTTTGAACTACAGGATAAATTTCATACTTCTGTTGTTTATTAGAGATAAACCTCTTACATTTCTAAAAAGTGATTAATTTGCAAACCTAATTGTAAAGTTACTTTTAGTAGGTCCCCATAACTGGTCTAAAGACGCCATTTCGGGATGGATTGCTCAAGCATGTAGCTCAAGATGTTGTAAAGTTGGCAAGGGTAAATTGTGCTTCTCTCGGTGCTCTCTTTAAGTTTTTGTGAGCCTGTGTCTGCATGACTAGATTATGGCATCCTTTCTTCTACAGGATGGCCTAGAAAGACGAGGCTTCAAAGAAACAGGATTCTTGAATGAGGTGGCGGAGGTGGTTAGAACTGGTATGTAATGGGGAGTTCCTCTCGTATCTCTTTTGTTTTTCTATTTTCCCATATGATTGCGCTGTTGCACCATCTCTTTCGAAAAGCCAAGCCAACTTTCTATTATCGACCATGATGTGCACTATAGTTTCTATAGGTTTTCCTCTTCGGGGGAATATGGTGTTTACGTCGAACGTTAATTATATTGCAGGTGTAACACCAGCTGAGAAGCTTTTGGAATTGTACAATGGGAAATGGGGACAACAGATAGACCCTGTTTTCGAGGAGCTACTCTACTGAGGCACGAGGCGGCTTCAGCGGCGTCATTTTGTGTGTAAACCTTTTCAAATTTTCGGGTGTAATCCTATTTTCCATTTTAGCTGCTTTCAGTTTGTGCCTTTTACAGAGGAATAATTTGTGATGTAAATCTTAGGCATGGAGTTCAGCGTTTACTTTGGACCGAACATAGTCAAATCATTGTTCCGGTTTAGTCTTGGAAGGTTAAAATAATTCAAACTTGTTGAGATGAATCCATTTGAACAACCTAATGATATTTTGTGGGAGAGAATGAACACGAGTTCATCTTTGTTTCATCCCACTTGAATAGATCTGTTATTTGTTTTTCTTTCGTTATCCTGATGAACAAACCTAAGTCACGTATGTATTTATGCTATTCAGTGTAGTAAAAGTGGAAATGTCTCATGTCATGGTAGATAGTTCGATGCAGTGTTAAACTAGACACGCTTAACCACTTGGGCTCTGCTCCAAGCTCATTGCTTACGACGATGCATTTGTCGAGCTCTGGCATTATCAATCGAAAAGAAGAGGGTGGTTGTACGTGACAGGGGAAGAAGATCCAACCCTGATGTTAAATTCTAATCTGCGTATTATTTATGTTATTAATTCATATTTTACACTAAGTAAATGTAAATTATATTTTTTAACAAAGACCAATTCATTAAGAAAATTAGAAACTACAACAAGAAAAGGGTCCAGGAAAGACTCCAGGACCCCAGCAGCTAAGCAAAGACCCCCCCCATAAGGGAATTCTGGCCCTAAGGCTGGGTAAGAAGACCAACAGCATAGCTCGAGTCGCCAGACTTTCGGACACATCCGTCTTTTGCAATGCGAGGCAACCCAATCAGTTGCCAAATTCACTTGGTGGGCATTCCAGAACCACTTAGCGGAGAGAAAGCGGTGCTGGAGAATCCAAATTTGACGAAGAATAGGGAAGATGGACCAGTTGGCAGCCCTTTTGTCTATCTATCCTTTTTATAGTCTACCGGGACAAGATGCATTTTGATTCCTTATACCAAATGGACTAGCTCATTTGTTCTTAAATACTATATGCTGCTGATTGTGATTTTATTTACAATCCCAGGTTAGTTTATCGTACTGATGAGTCAATATTATATTATATTATATATTTTACCCTATTCTTAGTATAATTTGGTAACTATTTTGATAGAATTTTGATATTTTGCTTTATATTTTCAATATAGGACATTCGACTTCATCTGGAGCAAAACATGATCAAACGCACGAATTTTGGAGTGATTCAAATTGGAGGACATTCGTGTGTTTCTTGGCTTGTTCATGTCAAAATTTGGGATTTTTCTACCAAGTGATTATTTTCTGCTGTTTAAATAAAAGAGCAGTGCGCGTTGCTGGAAAATGACGTTTCTAGGCTTAAATACAGTTTTTGGAGCCCAAGATGGCCACAAATGAGTTCGTGGCCTTCTGGAGAATTGTTCAGAATAGTCCAAACTTTAAATTCAGCTATTTTGGGCCAGTTTTAGAGTTGATATGAGTTCAAAACGTGGCTGTGCAGATTTCTAGGCGAATTTACCAAGTTAATTTAAGATTATTTTTCCTATTTTATTTCAATTTATTTAGTTTCCTAGTCTTATTCCAAGACCTTTTTACTAGGAGGATTTTATTTAGAGTAGTATAAATCAGCCTTTTCAGACCTAGGGTTTCTCTAGAACGAACGTAAGATTGGGAGAAGACTTTGGGCAAAGCTTAGAGATTTTCATATTTTATTCTACAATGTGTTTTCATTCTTTTTCTAGTTTAATACAATTATGTTGATTTTAATTATGAATATGCGTAGCTAATTTTCTTTTGCTAGGGCGAAGCCTTGAGCTTTAGCATGAATATGTAATTTTTGTTTAATTGCTTATGATATTATGCATGCATACTTTGAATTATTAATCACTGTGCCTTAAACTGTCTTTGTGTCTTAATGATTCGCGACCATTAGGATGTTTAGATAAGTAATTGGATGCAATTTGGTCGGAATACCACCAGGGAATTGAGTATTGCTTCTTGTGATTAATAGTTGTAATTTCACCTAGGATGAATACCACGTCTTAGGGGTTGCATGGTTTTTCAAAGGGTTTTCACAAATCGTAATGAGTCATGCATGTTTATATTTGATATGAATACCACAATGGATTGCATGTTTGATATATGTTCTACCTTGAATACCATGAGTAGAATATGCATTAGGAAAACCTAACCTTCAAAGTTGCATGGGTAATTCATAAGTAATTAGTAAATCTACATATGATTGTTAAGGGGATAACAGAACCCTAATGTAATACCCTGAAAAATTAAATATATGAATATGTGGAGAAAAATCGAAAATAAATCGATTTATGGGTATGAAAAATTGAATTGAGAACTTTTATAGTTTTGTTCCCTGAAATTGTTATAAATTATATTGTAACATTTATCGTTAAGTTGAAAAGATGAAAATGCCCTAGTTGGCTTAACATAATTATATGAGGACGTATTTTATCCTCACATATTTTATTGGATTTCTTTTCATATTTGGATAGAGGATAATCCTACGAGCGCGTAGGGAAAAAACCGTTTGTGAAAAGGAATTATAACGAAGAAGTTATTAACGATTGAAGTTGAGGGCAAAATGGTGATTTTACCATTAAATTGAATGACTCCAGATTTTCTGGAGAAAATGGGTGTGCCATGTGTGTGGCTATGATGAAAAGGGAGGTAGAGAAAAGAGAGAAAGGAGGGATCAGATTGCCGAATCAGAAAAGGAGGAAATGAGGGGAAATGAGGGAGAAATGGGAGAGAGAGAACCATATCCCTTATGACCTGCCGACCCGACCCAGCCGAATTCTCCGATTCCGGCCATCGTTGACGACATGGCCTGTGTCAAATTACTCCTCTCTTCGAACCCTAGCGATGCCTCCATCAATTACACCAAAAAACTTACGGGTTTTGGCTTCTCTTCACTATGAAACCCTCAGTGCTACCGGGGTTCATTGATAGTGATCTGTCATTTTTGAAAGAAATCTTGTCAATTTCCACCACCATTAGACTCCCCTTGAGCCCAGGAACAAATCTCAAGCCTTGGTTGGGGCAGCGGATCGAGGCCACCCAAATCTTTCCAGCGGTTCGAGGGTGATTCGAGGTGTTTTCCGGCCAAATTGGATTTCGGCCCAGGTATGAAAGTTGTTCATCTCATTGAACTCTACAACCCTGTACAATTTGGTAATTTTTAGAGTTCATCGGAATTTGGGGTTTCCGTTCGCCGGAAACTACCACTCATGACAGCATTTGGCTAGAAGACCGATGCTGCCTTTTTAAGCTAATTTTGATATTCTGAATCCATATTTGATATGCATTTGTTGTGATACACTTGTTGAACCTCATTAGTGATTGTTAGTCACTTGAATGCTTTTCGGAAGTGAGTTAGAAATTGAAATGTGAACTACGAAAGGCTTGATCCCGCTCCAGGGTACGTAGGCAGTCTAACAGAGTTTAGATGCAGCCTTAAATAATCGAGAATTACATTTTAGTTGAGAATTATTCTTAGATTGGAAAATTGATCTAAGAGAAGTAAAGGGTAGTAAATTGAAAATATAATTGTTATGTTTTGGTAAGAGAATTAAAGTTATAGAACTTGTGGAATTAAGGAACTTAATTAAAGAGTCATGAATATTGGCAGCTAAATAAACAAGAGTTTTAATTTGGGCCTATCAACAAACTTAATCCCCAAAAATAAATATTTCGAGGCCGGGGCGTTACACCTAGGCTTTTACAATTTAATTTTCAAAAGCTATTTTTATTTAGTTTTTTTTGTTACTTTATTTAATTATTTTCTATTAAATTCGTTTTTATTATTTTAAATCACAAAATCAACATTTCATCAAACTTTGTTTTAAATAATTAATTAAGATTTGACTTAACATAAATTGTTCATTCAATTCCTGCGGAAAACGACTTTACTTGAGCTGTTTATACTACAACTACCTTGTTCTTGCAAGTATTTTATGTGTTTTATCCCTACTTTTACAGGTGGTAAAAATCCTATCAAGAAATTGACCCTGTCGCCGAGGATTGTTTTAAATAATTTGTGTTTATCAACTCTTACTTAATTATTTTTGTATATATCTTTCTATTTACTTGATTTTTTTTTTTAGGTTACAAATTGTGCAACAATGGAATTTGTACCTCCTCTTGAATTCAATATACTGCCCGAAAGACCGCCTTTATGGGTCAAATTTGCAGAATGGGGTTTTTATGGATTTAAACGTACAATTTGTGCATTTTGCTGCTTGAAGACCCATGATATTTTGCAATGTCCCGAAAGAGAATATTTTCTAGATTATGTCAATATGAGAAACGACTCAAAAAGAAATTGGAACAATCCATATTCAGAGTTCTACACCCCAAGTTTGCAAAAGCATATTGAGCACTATTTTGAGCGGTTTAATGTGCCACATGATATTTTGGTAGAGGACAAGCTCTAAATTGTTGGAATCAACTGAGTTGTACATTGAAATAACCAATCAAGGATTTCTAATTCAAACATTAAACTGTGGGACAAGCTATGATGATCGAGAGGTTGGTGTATAGGAACTAAGGAGCCATCTGCCTGTTTTTCACACCCAAGAGAGGAAACAACACATGCTGATCCTGAAATCCTCCCAGAATCGAGTGCTACCCATGTTTATGTGCCACACGAACTTTTTCCACAAAAACTGTTGGACTATGTTGAAACTGATAGGTTAGACATGGTTGTTCACACCGAGTTAGGATCTGCAAAATCACATAAAGTGCACCAGCAAAGCCAGTCATAATTGCAAAAATTAAGTGCAAGTCCATCAAGCAGACTACATTCTACAAGGGACATAAGAAGCAGCTTAATGGCAGCCCAATTCTCCATCACGAAATTCGGACAAAGCAAAAATTGTGGGTATTAAATACAAGATTGAAGTCAGTTCAAGGGAAACACAAGCATCGATGGAGGGGAACCTATTTGATCACAAAGATTCATCACATAGAAGGGCAATTATGAAGAATTCAACCATTGATAAACAACAACTCATTCCATACCTACTGTTGCTGTATGATGCTATCAAGAAGTGGTTAACTCTAAGAGAACAAGTGACGTGATACAAACCTCATTCCAATCTGTCTAGCTATAGACGTTGACTAAAGTGCTTATTGGAAGGCAACCCAATTTTTCTAACTCTTCTTTTTATTTCGTTTATTTTATTTTCCTGCTTTTATTCTTAATTACAAAAATCACAAAAAAATATAAAAAATCTGAAAATTGAAAGAAAAAAAATTGCAATTTTTAATTCTTGTTATTTTTCTTTACTTATCTAATTAGGTTTTTTATTTGTGATTGCAGGCTGCATTTGGAACTGATTCGGTCTAATCTCAACTACGTGTGGATTCATACAATCACCGTTCATTCACCAATTTACATGACCATGTGAAAACCTATAATACATGCATGATTCTACAATCGGGGATCCAAGTGTGCAGAAGGGTCCATATATCGTAGATCAAGTTTTGCGCAGATTTTCCCTGGCTTTCATAATCAAGAGACATGCAAAATAAATTTAGTCATACATGATACATGGACACAGAGACAAATTCCAAAGGGCGGTATATTGATGACTCGCATTATCCACATATCAAGTGACTACCCTTCACAGATTCAGATGAATAAACAACGAAATAAGTTTGGGGGTTGTCGGCTATTTACCTTCCTTTTGGATCTGAAAATCATGGACTTTGCCAAAACTGTTGTGCCATAAATCGGTGCTTGATTTCTCTTTGTCACTTGAGTTTCCTTGCATAGATAAAGACCACATGCATGTGTTAGTTTTGGTTTATTTTACTGCAATGCACAAATCGAAACTGAAACAAAGAAGTTTGGTGGAGAGTTTTACCTTTGCGCCTTTTGGCTTTTGGATCGGACGGAAATGAAGCCTGCAACTTTGTTTGCAGGCATGACGAACTCCATGAACCTCTTTGTTGTGTTATAGATGAGTGAGAAAGAGAGAGAGAGAGAGAGTGAGAGAGATATCTCATCTTTGGAGAAATATAGAGGCTAGAGGTTTGAGAGCAGTTTGCCTCTGGGCTAGAGATGACTCTCAGCAATGAAAAATGATGGCAATGGGGTGTGTGTTCATTTGTATAGTGGAGCTTTAGGGTTTCAGTCACCCATGTGTATTGCACGTGTTCCAGGCGTGTAACTTCTGTTTGTGGTGTTTGCAGGCTGGTTTTCAAATTAGTGCATGGATCTTCTCCGGGCCCAGTCTTTTGGTTGCAATGGCTGCCACCCTTGCTCCATGTTTCCTTGCATCAGGCCCCATGTCCAATGTCAGGTCACATTTTCAACCCAGGTGCATTCTTTTCTTTTATTTATTTATTTATTTATTTTGTCACTTTTCATTTCGTTTTTGTTGTTTTTCTTTACTATCTTTTAAATTATTGTTAGGTTTAGTTAGGTTTTGGTTTAGTCTTTAATTTTCTTTTAAGGTGTTTCTTTTATTTTATTTGTTTTCCACACCTTGAGGACAATGTGTGATTTAAGTTTGGGGGTGGGAAATAAGAAATTTTAGATTTTTAATTTTTGAGTCAAATAAAAATTTTCGTTCTTTTAAGTTAATATCCATAGTTTATTTTAAACATTATAACAAATGGACATGGTGAAAATTAATCCCGTAGTAGAGTATTTTCTATTTATCGTTGCTTAGACACTAATTCATGAGTTATACTTTGAAAATTTGCACATTCACATCAACATGGTTTGTGGGGAGTGAGATTGAAACACTTACTTTTTGTCTAAGTGTATTTTAATTTTTTTTCTTAGTAAAGTGAAGTTTAGTATGTGTTACAAATAAAGTAATAATTGTTTCACCCGAGACTTTGCTTAGTAACCAGGCCAGTTCTGCCTGATCAACAGTTATTCTTGCGTCAAATGGTAGAGGTTTGGCATGGGGCAGGGTGGTTAGTTGGTTTTGTAGCCTTTTCAGCTCGAGTAAGTAAGTCCTTAGGGGTGTTCTACACCTAGTGCCCCAAAGCTCTTGTGGTTTGGGAGTCATTGACCTAAAGCTCGTTACATGGGTTGGATCGAAAGCTTAAGTGAACTAACATTGCATGACCACTACTGTTATTGAAAAAAAAATTAAAAAGCAAAATATATATATATGATAGTTATGTTTCCAACAAGTTTGTGTGAAGTGTTGAATAAAAGGACGAAGGGTAAGTGTTTTAGTCGAGTCTTCTTAGCTATGTTGATTCACTTTACACCAAAGGAAGTTTGTGAATTCTTTTCTAATTGATTTTAAATGGCTTAGACTCTGTGGTGGGATTAGCTGGAACTTTTGAAAAGATGTTTTGATTTTTAACGTTTTCTATGGATTGCAACTTTGAAGGTGAAATTTTTGTCATTTATTTTTTATTTAAGTTTCTAGTTTGTTAGTTTTTATTTTTATTTTCTAGTTTTATTTTGCTTGAGGACAAGAAAAAAACTAAGTTTGGGGATATTTTGATGATTTAATATTATATTATATATTTTACCCTATTCTTAGTATAATTTGGTAACTATTTTGGTAGAATTTTGATATTTTGCTTTATATTTTCAATATAGGACATTCAAATTTCTCTGGAGAAAAATGTAATCAAACGGACGAATTTTGGAGTGATTCAAATTGGAGGACATTCGTGTGTCTCTTGGCTTGTTCGTATCAAAATTTGGGATTTTTCTACCAAGTGATTATTTTCTAGTGATTAAATAAAGGAGCAATGCGCATTGCTGGAAAGTGACGTTTCTAGGCTTAAATGCAGTTTTGGAGCCCAAGATGACCTCAGATGGGTTCATAGCCTTCTGGAGAAGTGTTCAGAATAGTCCAAGCTTTAAATCCATCTATTTTGGACCAGTTTTGGAGTTGATATGGGTCCAAAACGTGGCTGTGCAGATTTCTAGGCGAATTTACCAAGTTAATTTAGGATTATGTTTCCTATTTTATTTCAATTTATTTAGTTTCCTAGTCTTATTCTAAGACCTTTTTACTAGGAGGATTTTATTTAGAATAGTATAAATAAGTCTTTTGGCAGACCTAGAGTTTCTCTAGAACGTCCGCAAGATTGAGAGAAGACTTTGGGCAAAGCTTAGAGATGTTCAGATTTTATTCTACAAGGTGTTTTCATTCTTTTTCTAGTTGAATACAATTATGTTGATTTTAATGATGAATATGCGTAGCTAATTTTCTTTTGTTAGGGCGAAGTCTTGAGCCTTAGCATGAATATGTATTTTTTATTTAATTGCTTATGATATTATGGATGCATACTTTGAATTATTAATCACCGTGCTTTAAACTATCTTTGTGTCTTAATGATTCGTGACCATTAGGATGTTTAGATAAGTAATTGGATGCAATTCGGTCGGAATACCATCGGGGAATTGAGTATTGCTTTTTGTGATTAATAGTTGTAATTTCACATAGGATGAATACCACGTCTTAGGGGTTGCATGGGTTTTCATAAGGTTTTCACAAATCGTAATGAGTCATGCATGTTTATATTTGATCTGAATACCATAGATGGATTGCTTGTTTGATATACGTTATAACTTGAATACCACGAGTAGAATATGTATTAGGAAAACCTAACCTTCAAAGTTACATGGGTAATTAATAAGTAATTAGTAAATCTACATAGGATTGTTAAGGGGACAACGGAACCCTAGGCTTTTACAATTTAATTTTCAAAAACTATTTTTGTTAGTTTATTTTATTTTGTTAGTTTATTTAATTATTTTCTATTAAATTCGTTTTTATTATTTTAAATCAAAAAATCAACATTTTATCAAACTTTGTTTTAAATAATTAATTAAGATTTGACTTAATATAAATTATTCATTCAATCCCTGCGGAAAACGACCTTACTTGAGCCGTTTATACTACAACTACCTTGTTCTCTTGCAAGTATTTTATATGTTTTTATTTCTACTTTTGTAGGTGGTAAAAATCCTATCACGTACGATGAAGTTTTCCTACAAAATGTGCTAGATATGATAGCTGATTGGACCGCCGAAGAAAGACAGATGTTAAGAGATAAGGTGATGTCAAATTCTGAACGAAGCTCATTCTTCTGCAATGGTTAATAAACGATAATATGAAACTTAAAATTTTGGATGATTGTATCTAATAGTACATGTCCAGGATTGTGTTCTAAGTTTTCTTTCTTACCTGTTTGTGCTGTCTTGGGGTTGAAATGTTGTACCAAACTAATTGCATACTGTGTTCTTCCAAAAAAAAAAAAAAAAACTAATTTTATACTGTATAGCTTTGGGCTAGGAAAAAGGAGACCAGCTTGAATATGTCAAATTTGCTAGACATCTGGAAATGGCGACACGTGGCGTTATGAAACGATAAAAAAAATTAATTCCTCTCTCTCCCCACTTTCTCTCTCCTCTGCCCGTGAGAGAGGAATTATTTTTTTCATTGCATAACCTCTTTCCTCACAACCATAACCTCCTTGTTGCATATCTGACAACAAATCTGCAGGTCTTTTGTCTCCTCCTCCAATCAATATACAATATTTCTGAACATTTTCATTTACGTTTATTTCCATACTCCTCACAAAAATGGAGGCTACTCACAAATTCGTATGCCAAGACGATTTGGTCAACCCTCTATCCTCCATGGGCATGCAAGTAGCTTGCATCCTTGTCATCTCACATTTCTTTCACATTCTGCTCAAGGCCTTGGGACAACCAGGCCCCATTGCTCAGATTCTTGTAAGTATATCATTTTCTTCACCTGCAAATGCATTTGTCGGTCCGAATCGTTCATCGAGGGTATTCATATTTGAACTTGTGATTCGGATTATAGTCTCATAACATACGTAACATATTAAATTAACTCGCATACACATATTATATCAAGCTGGTTTGGTTTGTTAATGGAAATCATCGGTCGCAATTAACATGTGATTTTGGTTGGTCGTCTCATAACAAAATATGTCAAATTAACTCGCATGTACATGCTATTTTGTTTTATATATTCAGGCTGGTTTGGTGTTGGGTCCGTCAGGGTTGTCTAATATTTCTGAAATAAAAGAATTCTTCTTTCAAGCTTCTGCTGCAGAATACTACGAGATGTTCGGGTTCTTCTGCCGGATTCTCTTCATGTTCCTATTCGGTTTGGAGATAGACATTGCGTATATACGCCACAACCTACGCATTGTGTGTATCGTTGCCTACGGTGGTGCCTCAGTAGGCGGCATTTTTGGCCTTGTTGCCTCCTTCTTTATCTCCAAGCACTTAATGGCTGAAAATGCCAAACTGAACGCTAGTTTCGTTTTTTGCATCATGTTACTTGTAGCGTACACATCTTCACCAGTTGTCAATCGCTTAGGAGCAGAGTTAAGGTTTTCAACTTCTGACATTGGTCGCTTGGCAGCATCTGCAGCTATGGTCGTCGAACTTACCTGCTTACTTGTTTTCAATTTGATCATCGCGTTCTCAAAAGTTACTAATATACGGGACGGCTTCTTGATCCTCCTAGGCATGGTTCCAATACTTTTTGGGTTCAAGTACTTGGCAGTCTGGTTGAACAAACGTACCAATAAGCAAAAGTACCTCAGAAACCCTGAGGTGTTTCTCATTTTATCTATTCTAATAGCTGGTTCAATGATCATTGAAATGCGCACGTTTAATAGTGTGATAGCTTGTTTTGTTGCCGGCATGGTGTTCCCCAAGGAAGGCAAAACGGCAAGAACTTTGTTGCACAAACTTACTTACTCTGTCCACAACTTTGTACTCCCAGTTTACTTCGGCTATATTGGCTTCCAATTTGATGCGAGTCATTTGAAAAGCTGGAGAAATGTACTGATTGTGTTCATACTTGTGCTGTTGAGCCTCAGTAGCAAGATTGGTGGAACTCTTGCGGTTTGCCACTATTTGAAGATTCCACCAAATGAGGGGCTTTTCCTTGGTTTTGTCTTGAGCTTGAAGGGACATGCTGATATCTTGTTTGTTGGCAGCGCCTCAAAGGCACTAGTTGTAAGGTTCTTAACTTCGATTACGTTGTTTGGAAATTTTGATTGCACATTCAACTGCAAAAGACTAATCTTGCATATATCAGTAACATGTTTAATGACTACATTGCTGATCCCATCTTTCAAACGGCCGAGAGGAAACTTTAATAACGCTACTTATACCACATTCACTAGTCATCTCGAATTACAGACACGAGACACGGCTATTCAAATGAGTTGGTTGTTTCGTATGTGTGGTGTAAGTAGTTTTATTTGCCGATTTCATGCACCAATTCCATGCATCCTTACCTAAATTAATTGGGTATTAAATTTTCATTTTTCTATTGTTTCAGACTTGGAACCCGACGGCTTACAACTTGTTACTAATGACAATAGTGATTAACACCGTAATATCAGGGCCAGTTGTGGCTTTATTAATGAAAAGAGAAGAAAGACTCTTCACTCACACACACACATCCCTTGGCTTTGAGCTGGAAAAGCCGGATCAGAGTGAGCTTCGACTGCTGGCCTGTGTGTACGGCCCTCGCCACATGTCAGCCATACTCTCGGTCATCGCCTCAATGCGGGGCTCCCAAACAGCCTCCATCATGCCCTACATGGCCCACCTGATCGAGCTAAATCGGAAACGCCGCACCAACGTGTCGTATCACGAGCTGGAGGCTGACGAAATGAGCGACGAAGAAGAGTACGGCGGAAACGATGTGCTCGAAATCCACGCAGCTGTGGATGCCTTCACTGCTGAGACTCGAATCCTAATCAACCTCAATAAGGCCGTCTCGACAGTGTCGAATTTGCATGAGGACGTGTGCAGCGCTGCCGAGGACTTGCGTGCGACTATCATTTTATTGCCCTTTCACAAGCATCAAAGAATCGACGGGAAAATGGAATCTGGGAAAGAGGCGGTGCGGACGACAAACCAAAAAATTCTTCGTCATGCTCCGAGTTCCGTTGGGATTATTGTCGAAAAGGGGCTTGCTGGGGCGCTAGGGTTTTCGCAGTTGTTCACGGTGGACGTTGTGCAACATGTTGCAACTCTCTTCTTTGGCGGACCGGATGACCGCGAGGCAATTGCTTGGAGTACAAGGATCGCGAATCATCCTAGAGTTAATTTGACAGTGATTAGGTTTCTGCCAGCAGAATCGTCGAATACGAGGAATATGAAGGTGGAGAATGAACTGGGGAATAATGACATTGAAGTTTTCATGGCTTTGTCGAGTTTAGAAACCGGGAATGACATTGACAATGCTTTTCTCAATGACTTTTATAATGGGTACGTACGACTCTTTCTTAATTAACTTGGATATGGAAGTTTAATATTTGTCACTTTATATGAGACATCTCATATCATTTTTTTGGTTGAAAACGGGGCTTATAGCCCAAACAAACAAAGCAAAAATAAGTCTAGGGGACATCCCAGAGTCGATTCTCATAAACAAACATTTGAAGAAGAAGCAGGATTATCAAATTAGTGAGTTTATAGGTCTAGAGCAAGACTATAGTTAGCTAAACTATTAGCTACAAATTCTTTTCTTTGCAGACATGTTGCATTGCCAAGATCTTGAAAGCAACTCTCCACAAGCAAAAATAATTGAGTCTCATATCATTTTAGGCAAAAGGTCTTAAATTAATTTAACTAATTTTGCAAATTTATATATTCTAAACATTTGTTTCTTAATTTGTTGGCTAGGTATGTGGCATCAGGTAAAGTTGGGTATGTTGAAAAGCAGGTGAACAATGGAGCAGAAACAGTGGCAGCTCTAAGAGACATAGGGGACTTGTACTCTCTTTTTATAGTAGGGAAGGGTGGACGAGGACACTCTCCATTGACAACTGAACTAAGCGACTGGGAAGAGTGCCCTGAATTGGGAACTGTTGGGGATCTCTTGGCTTCTTCAGATCTTAATATAAATGGTTCAATTTTGGTCGTTCAACAACATAGGAATTCCAAGAAAAACCTTATAGATGATTAGCTATAGTTAATTTACGTTCTTTAACTATATTATAATATTGTGATTTAGTACTTCTTCAAATATTGTATATACAGAAATATAGATTTTGAATTTTGGTTGGGCGTTCCCATTTTTGTGTCTTACCATTTTTCACTTACTCTTCGTTAGGATTATAGGAAATAAACTTGAAATTTTGACAAAATTTAGAATTTGTAAATTGATATGATCAATTCCCTTGTTGAAGGAAAAATTGTATGAAATTAGAGGATTCGTTAAGTAACTCATGCTTTAAATCAAATTAAATGCAAAAGCTAGATATGCATATATTCAAAAACCAAATCCTTTACAAAATCTTCAAGGCCTAAGGGTTGATATTTGTTCCAAACAAAAGTTGAAGGGATGATATGATAATACCCTTGAAGCTCTCTTTGGTTCCTAGAACTAAAGTTATCACCTTTGAGGAAAAGACATTCAAATCTCCATGGATGTAGCCTTCATTTGCTCTCCTTGCATTCTTCTAGGTGTGAGTAAGATCTCCAAAAGTTACCATGATAGATGACCTCTAAGTATCTCCACCAACCTTGATTTGAAAAAAAGATGAGATGACTATATATGAAGAGAGAATTGTGCTAGCACTCTCTCCTCATAGTAGCTAAGTTTTGTGAAGAGAATGAGAAGAATGGTGGCTTTCCTCCTTTTCTTTGCTCTCCAAAACCTCTAAGTTAGATGTATTTATAAAGTGGCTTATATAGGTGAGTCATTTGTGTGAAACCTTGGCCATTTTACTCCCCAAACCGGCCATTTAGCGTAGGTGGGTCTTTTGGGATCTCCCACTTAAGTTGTCATGCACAACTTGAGTTAAATACCCAATGGTCCTAGGAACCCGAAAATTACTTTTAAGGCTCAATACAACATCCTATGTGCATGTAATTAATTGACTAATCTTAACCTACCCACACTAATCTTAAATGGAGTCTCTACAACTGTATAGTCCCTAAATATAGGGATAAATGACTTTCAATGGGCCGAATTGAAGTCCTCAAATTATCTCAATACATGGGGACTTGCCGGATACCTCATTAAAATTCTTAAATATAAGGTCTACAGATAGGGACTCAAATAGTGGACTCCATATTAATTTTGAATGGGAATGATGCTGCTCTTTATGTTTTTTTTCCTTGTTTTTTGAATCCACCCAAGTGGGTTAACTTCTCATTTGCATTTTTTTTCTTCTAATTCTTGAAAAATCAATGGTAGAGATAGTTTTTATTTTTATTCTTAACAATGGTTACAATACTTGGATGATATGAATAATAATTTTTTAATATTTTAGTCCCTACATTTAGGGATTATACTATAAGGAATTTTCATTGTAGACAATATTCTTTTGGGGACTCGAATATTCCTCTAAAGCTCCTAAATGAGTCCTTAAAGGTGGTGGTGGGAGTCCCCGAGTAGGGACTCCTATTGGAGATGCTCTAATTAATTGATCTCACCATCTTCTTAAGTTTCCAAAACCTTAAGCTTATTAGTGTGCAGTCCATTAGGTTCTAATTAGCGAAGTAGTGGGAAGATAGAACTCTTACTAATCAATTAAAACTATCTTTTATTTCTACCTTTAACAAGGATTAAGTATTGATAATCAACATAGCTGCATATTCAAAACAAGTTGGAATGACAAAGCAAAGACATGACTAGGCCTGGATCCCTGACTAGTTGGAATGACATTCAAAACATGTTCTTGAGAAGTTCTTTTCAACTCAGAAGACTAATGAACTGAGAGACAAGATCATGCAATTCACTCAATCAACAGATGAGACGTTTTACGAGGCTTGAGAACGATTCAACAATTTGTTTACTCGATCATTTGTCTTTCACTGTAAGGAAAGAATTTCATCCTAAGATGTTCTCCAGTGACTCCTAGAAACCATGTTAGAATATCTGTAACATGAGTCAATAGATCTTCAGTTTTAAACCGTAAAAAGATGACATTATACTAATATGAACATTAATCAACTCAAAGTTTCTGGCAGCATCGAGAAGGACAATGCTTAATGGCAACGTAGGACTAGTCGAGATATCAAGGTCTCCCATTGTTTCATTCTATACAAGTGCCATCTTTTCTTCCTCTAGCCGATCGTTCTTCCCATTGTTTCATTCTCTTACTACTCTATGTGTGCTCGCGCAAGAATGGCTGGCTTGTAGCCTCCATATATTCTTGTGCAAGATTGCCTAGAAAGAAGAAGCTTGAACGAACCTGGATTTTTGGATGAGGTGGCGGAGGTTGCTAGAACTGATATGCAATTAGGAGTTAAGCTAAGCCGATTTTATATTATTAAGCTTTATGTGCATCAAACTAATTCAGATGGTTTAACTAAACTACTCAGTCTTGGGGTTAAATATTTACCAAACTAATTTGTTATTGTTTGGGTTAATATTTGAATATTGGGCTTAAATGAAGGAAAGCTCAATAATGCCAAATTAAAGGAAGACTTACCAGAAGCACCAGCATTAGGCCCAAAAGCAAACCGAAGCCTTTTCGGCCAAGACATAAAACATGTGTCTATAACTGAAGTGATAAGTATTTGAGACTAACTTACTATCAGGCAAGAAACACTTTCCAGTGGCATTACATGTAAAAAGCTGATGACTCACTACCTTTCAAGAGCTTTCGGGCAAGAGCAATACCCTGATCTTCAGGCCAAATTGCCTATAAAAGGGAGAAAAGACAACAAAGACAAGGACACTCAACCGATCAAACAAACAAGCATACAAACTTTGCTATCAAGCCAGTACGTACTCTTCAAGTTTGAAATCAACTTAGACTCAGTTTCTTTAGCAATAGTTTCCTCATAAAAGCTATCTTTTGCCTAGTATAAAAGCTCTACTACCTCCCTTAGTGTTGTAGTATTGATTCTCTTGTGTACACCTGTTTACCATCCATCCCTTTTTAGCATACAACCCCTGTAAACTCAAAGAGAAGTGGACGCAAGAGGTTCAACCTTGCCAGACAAGGTGAAATCTTGCTTGAGTCTATTTGTTTGTTCTTTAAATTAGTAGATCTATTGATTAATGTACTCTTCAGCATGTATTCAAGTCATTTCCACCTATTTTTCTATTTTAAGAGTCTCATTTGCATCAGCATCTGGATAACTGAATGGATTTGTTTTCACTAAGAGAAATTTGGAACCAAACAAATGACTTAAGGGGATCCAGACTCCCTCCATTAGAACATACAAGATCATGAACTAAAAGTCCTTGTTTACAAGGCAAGAAAAGAACTTAATATAGACTTAACCCATATGTGACAATCATTTGATATCAAGAAGTTTGAGTAACTTGGGGTGCAAGTAATCAACTTGAAACACACTTGTTCTACATCTGTTATACTGAGATAGAAATGGCACGCTTAAGTACTTAGTTAGTTTTGATTGCGAGCCTTAAGGCCTACACCTAAGGCCTCATAAAGGCACATTTCAGAACTAACTTCAAGCTCTTATTACAGCATACAAGGCAAGCAAGAGTCCGACTACCAAATATACACGTCCAAAGTGCCAATCCTTTGGGGAGCTGTACTGAGGTTTAGAGACCTTCTGCAGAGAAATCTTTGCCCGAACATAGTTTTGGCACGCCCAATGGGACCCATTTAGTCTTGTATGCCAAGAATGAGGAGAAAGGAAATAACCTTCAGGTGGAATACAGAATACAGGCCACCCTAGTGTCTACCAAGATCAAGCATGACAAATCATCCATAAGATTTCCCTTTCTTACGAGGATCAACCATTCTGGAAAGCCCGACTTCATCTGAGAAGTTAGGAGGAAAGGTGACCAATGAAGACTTGCAAGCCACCATGGTGCAAGTGTTGAAAAGTATGGAGAATATTACTTTGGAAACCAGAGGAGAAATGAATAGACTCTGTTCCTTAACAGGGAGTATACAAAGAAGAATAGATCTGGAGTACTTTACTCCAAAAAATGGTTATGCCAGAGAAATGATGAGAGAAGCAAGTCCTGAGAAAGAACCAGTTATTCCCTTATTTCTTTTGCTTGAGGAAAAGAAGGATAAGGGGAAAAATAAGGAGGGATTTGGAGTTAGTCAGCCAGTATTAGAGGAGATCCTGGAAACAAAATTGCTCGACCTTCTATTATTTTCACTCGATAGTAGGGGGCAGAGCAGGCAAGAAAAAGAGAAGTATGGGATGCCTTAACTAATTGGAGAATCCAACGGGAAATGTGAGCTCACAACTACAGACAAACCTCCCCTTTATAGGCTACCATCATTGGCTAATAAGGGATAAGATGCCAGATGGAGACAACTTGACTCAAAGAATGAGCCTTTCTCGGGCAATGATCGTAACCCGAAGTGGGGACCTCTTTATACCCCACACAACAATGCAGCCAACCAGCAGTTCAGAGATGAATTGGTCGAATTAAAAAGAATGGTGGTAAGGAATGCTTAGCCCTAAGCTCACCCGCTGTTCAGAATCACGTATCAGAAGCCCTACCCTGAATACAGTGATGAACATAACCCTTTCCCCCTTAACTTTAAGATGCCTGTGTTCCCAACATTTAGTGGATAAGATGGCAATGTGTCCTCCAGGTCAAGGACCAAAAAGTGGTGATGAATGATGGTGGATTTATCCCTATGAAGCCCCCTAAATACCAGAGTTATTCTTTTGATTTAACCAAAGCCTTGGAGATCTATGAAGAGCTGGTGCAGGCATGAGTGATTGTGCCCGACAATACCAAAAAGATGCCTAAACCAGAAGAATTAAGAGGAAAGAAGTATTGCAAACTGCAATATACTTTCAATCATTCCATAACCAATTGTGTCCAATTTAGGGATTGGATACAAGACCTCATAGAGAAGGGAAAGTTGCTCTTGGAGAAACCCCAAGCCAACATGATGATTGACATAGAACCCTTCCCAGAAGCCCCGATAAACATGATCAACCTGACTTGGGCTGAGAAAGGGAAGGGAAAAACCACTTGGGAAGTGAAAGCAAAAATGAGGCAAGTTGACAGACCTACAGAATGAGCTATCAAGTTGCCCAAGAAACCTAAGCAACCATAGTTAAAGGGCTGGTGTTGTGTAACAAGTGCCAATGTGAATGCAAGCTAGAAGTATCAGCATTAGGAGTTATTATT